TGAGGAAATGTGAGAGCGCTCAGACCCTGCAGAGACAGCAACGCAACTGAAATGTTCCCAGGTCCAGAAACGTAGCAAGGACATCGGTAAAACCATGTGACATCAGTGGCTCAACTTCAGATAAATTGTCTCAGGGTCTGAGAGCTCTCACATTTCATCAAAAATATCTTAATTCGTGTTCTGAAGATGAACGAAGGTCTTACGGGTTTGGAACAACATGAGGGTGAGTAATTAATGACAGAATTTTTTGGGGTGAACTATCCCTTTAAGTTTTAGTCATTTTGTTATGTGTTTTTGTCAGTGTTCTACTCAGCTTTAATCTATTTTTAAGTTTTAGTAATTTTAGTACTTCAGCTTATTCAACTTTTTCAGTTAGTTGCATTTCTAGGTTTTTAATGTATTATTTTTATGTTATTTCAGTTTTTTTCAAATAAAAAATTTATTATTTTAACAGTAATAGTTTTAGGTAACAATAACAACACTTGCTTAACAAATCACTAGTTAAAAGTTAGTTAATAGTCAGAAATTACATACATTTTTCAAGTAACTTCTCCACTAATTCCCTAGAATACCTTTAGGGATACATAACCGATCACCTTGGATCTATACCATTATAGATGATAATGCAAATAAAAAAAAAGAAATGTCATCTTGCTTGTAAAATATCGACAACATTCTTTCACTGCACTCATTTAAATGATTTTAAGATTGAGGAGTTCCTAAGTGTCTCCAGAGATCTTGGGATCGAGCTGATTAATTAGCACTGATATCAATCTCTAAATGGCATTTTTGCAATAAAGCAAAGCATTGCTAAAAAGGAACGAAGTTCAGACATGGTGACTCACCTTTGTTGGTGTCTCATTGACTTGAGTTGAATTTAAATCAGCTCCGGTGTTGTTTACACTTCTCTCAGCCAGATTTGTTTCTGTGGCATCTCCATTGACCGCACCAAGCCATCCACCTGTAACAAATCCAAACAGTTTGGATTCTCAAAGGATCAGCCAATCTCCAAGGCACTTTTAAAACCTAAAAAGGCATAAACGTGAAATAAAGCTGCCTCCACTTGGCAGCAAACCTGTTTGTTTCCAGAACTAACCACAATTTATGCCACAACAAATTCCTTAATCCTCCATTAAACGAATCACCAGCCAGAATCTGTCAGAATTGAACCCCACAGAAAGACTTCATCCACTGAGATGCTAATTTATGACTGGAAAAAAACGATTCTCTGAACTTTGTCAGAAGAACAATGGGACCATTGAACCCACTGTAAGAAGTGTTTGTTCCAATGGCCTTTTTATTCAGGCACAACAACAATTAAGACATCTCTCCCAAGTGCTGGCAGTTAGCCAGGATAGTCCCAACATGGAGATGTTGAAAACGTCCACGCTGAAGGTTTCCATTTCCACAGCTCAAAGTGGGTGTGAACAAAAGACGTCTTTGATTATCCCCTGCAAATATGAACATTCACTGAAAGTTATTTGAGCAATGAAGTTGACTGTCAGACAATGCTGTATATGTTCCACAAAAAAATACTAATTTGTCTCTATAATTTACTGTGCAATTTAGCAACTAACCACACCATGCCCACTGACTGTCAAAATAACATAACATGAACCTTTTCATTAATAGGAAAAGAGGAAACTCAAGAAAGCACCATTCCTGTAAACAGAGATCTTTCCAGTTAATGGGGGTACAGAAAAAAATAAAAGCACTTTTTAGTGCACATTATCTGCAGCTACAATCATATCCTAAGTAACATTATGACAGCACACAACAATTAGTCTGGCACTGTCCTGCTTTGTGCAATATATTCAGAGCACTCTCCTATCGACAAATCCTGCCTTTCCAACTCACTTTTGGCAGCGTTCTTGGATAGCTCTTGGCTTGTGCTGTCCTCATCATCGATGTGCACTAGTGTGGCCCTCAAAGTAACAGCACCCTTGCCCTTGCAAACACGGGTAGGGTCCAGCACTGCAAAAACATAAGCAAAGAAACTGATTTTATCTTTTCAAAGCTCTAAATAAAGTTTCATATTACTCATTTGTTACCCTGGACCACAAAACCAGTCATAAGTAGCACGGGTATATTTGTAGCAATAGCCAACAATATACATGGGTCAAAATTATCTATTTTTATTTTATGCCATAAATCATTAGGATATTAAGTAAAGATCATGTTCCATGAAGATATTTTGTAATTTTCCTACCGTAAATATATCAAAACTTTATTTTTGATTAGTTACATGCATTGCTAAGAACTTCATTTGGACACCTTTAAAGGTGATTTTCTCAATATTTTGATTTTTTTTTTATGTTGTTGTTGTTGAATAGTTGTTTCTCAGCCAGATATTGTCCTATCCTAACAAATCATACATCAATGGAAAACTTATTTATTCAGCTTTCAGATTTCAAATTTCAAAAAATTCTCCCTTATGACTGGTTTTGTGGTCCAGGGTCACATTTGATATTATGTTAGTCCCCCAAATCCTACAAATGCTGCTCTTACCAGTAGGCATGAGATCAGGGGAACTCTTCATGGTCCTCAAAGGAGTTACTCGCACAGCAGATACAGTGCGCCGACAGGGTGGACGTGCTGCAAAACACATACAACCATACGTGAGATGTGGAGAACAGCAAAAGAAATTTGGGTCATGTGACATTTGTGACATTTTGGGTCATGACCCACCCATTGAGAAGCACTGCATTAGTTTTTACTGAGTTATTTGTTAGACTTTATTGAGAACAACAGCTCTAATAATGCTCATATAGAGACCCCAGGGCTTTTTAAAGGGGTCCTATTATGCTTTTTCACTTTTTTAATTTTAGTCAGTGTGTATGTTTGGGCATAAAAAAGATCTAGAAAGTTACAAATCTCAAAGTCCACTCCAAAGGGAGATATTTCGTTTTTTAAAAATCCCTTTTCAAGAACTACAAGGAACGGAACCCCAATTTGCTATTGTGTGCTGCGTATTTTACTGAGGACAGCTTTCACAACATGAGGGAGTACGGTGCCGGATTCGCCCAAAAGTTTTTGTTGAAAGATGGAGCAAGGGGCGTGGCAGTAATGAAACACCATCTACGCTGTTCGCCAATCACAACGCACTGGGACAGCTAACCAATCACGACACATTTTGTTTTTCGGAAGGTGGACCTTCATCAAAGCCGGAACTAATCGAGCCGTTTGTGCCAGGCTGGGGAGAAAGGTATTTTAATAATGTAAATTATGTGAAAAATAATGTGTTTTTCGAACCACCAATCATGAGAGCATGTTCTAGGACACCCCTAAAACAAAATCAAGGCTTTGTAAAAGAGCATAATAGGACCCCTTTAAGTCCTAGGAAGATTGTAATCACAGTGTTCTCCGAAGGCTGGCACAAATATCAAGAAAAGATGGATGAACGGAAGGAAATAGGGGGCCTGGCAGTGAGAATACTGATTCAACAATGACTCAAGCCAGAGAGAAAGACAGAGAGAGTCTGTGTGTGATTGCTTACTCATGAGCCTCCTGCATCAAGACATTAGACAGCTATTATTCATTCCTTGTTACTGCCTTTTATGTATTAGTGTTTTAAAACAGGCTTAAACAATATCATATAGTGTACTGTATGAGACTATATGCACAGATTTAAAACTTGCATGCAGAGAAAACAGCTGTTTAAATTGCCTTTTGCTGTTTTAATATTATTTATGTTGTTTTCTTTATCTGTGTTGCAATTGTTTTGTTTTGCATGTTTCATTCATGCCCATATAACTGTAAATAAAGGCCAGCCAGGCCTGCATAACGTCAAGAAACTGGACGGAGATACTGAAAGTGTGGCACACTTACCAGGGGCTGCATCAAATTTCCCTGTGCCCTCTGCTGGAGAGCCCTGCAAATGAAAATGGGCGAAAGGAGAGATGAAGGGAGATGCTGAGACAGGGAACAATGTTGCTCAGCATGTCATTAGGAAAGAGAACAAAGAATATTGAGTGGCTGAAAATCAAGATTTCAGCAAGTCAACAACAACACCTCCATGGTATGTTCCTTAGCATGTTTACAACTGCAAAAAAAAGCTAGTGCAAAAAATGGGAGTGGGCGATATGACCAACATCTTATTTCACAATTTGAGAAATGTTATCATGATATATATTGTCCTACTGCACAGCCCTAGCAAAAAGTATGACAATTAAACAGTGATCACAAAAAAAAAAAAAACTGCCCTGCTAGCTTGACTTGCTTTGTATATTTAGGCCTGATCTCAATGGCTCTGAATATAAATATTTAAAAACAACCTGATTGGCTGGAATGTGAAATTTCGACCGGAATAATGTTACAAACAATCCAACTAACATGGCAAGTGTGAGGGTGCTGATGAATGAGGAGACTGACTAACTGATGTGTCACACCTATGGCTGTGGTTCACACTGAAACAAGATACAAAGTGACCCGTTACAGAACATTGGCTGAGTAAGAAAATATGGGTCAGTGAAAATGTATATGTTTCAGTAGCTGCCAATGGATATCCCTCTAGCACTCTATCCCTCTGTTTCTGCCCTGTAACAAATGAGCAGTGTTGGGGGTAACGCATTACAAGTAATGCAAGTTACGTAATCAGATTACTTTTTTCAAGTAACTAGTAAAGTAACGCATTACTTTTTAATTTACAAGAGAATATCTGCGTTACTCTTTCAAATAAGTAACGCAAGTTACTTTTTTTTCCAATTTATTGATTGACAGCTCTCCTGTCCCCATGAGTAAGCCACTTTGGACGAAAGTGTCTGCCAAATCAGATAATGATTAGTATTTTAGATACTTATTACTATTTGCCAAACGAGAGCTTTCTTTATACATACAAAATATTACAGAAGTCCTGGATAATTGCAGATATTCCTGTAATATTTCTAATGAATCCCAATGTAAACATTAACCATCTGTCTCTATGCGAGGTGCTCTGTCTCATTGACTGATTATAGCCTACAGTTGCTGTCTATAGGAAATCAGAACCAGTTAATTAGCCAAATAATTAAACTTAGATAATTTAATGGAGCCTATATTTTAATTAAATTATATGGTAGGTAGTGTTGTCACGGTACCAACATTTCAGTATTCGGTACCAATACCAGTGAAAATCCACGGTTCTCGGTACCAATTTCGGTACCAAAGCAAAACACAAAAACATGCTAATTAAAAAATTTGACTATACTTTCATTTAATCCAAGCGCTGTTGGAGTGGGAGAGATAGGAGTTAGAGGTCTGCATTCCCGCAGCTCTCCCGACCAGATTTTTTGCACCGCGGGATTAAATTCCCGAATAAAACGCGGTAGCGGTCGGTAAACTTGGTACCGAAGTACCGGGTCTTTTGACAACACTAATGGTAGGCCTATATAAAAAATATAGCCTAGATAGAAGACTCTCTCAGATGTTTACAGAAAAGACTGTTAGCACTGGATTTACCCACTTGAAAATGGATATCGTCCTAAATTTGGAGTTGTTGAATAGTTGCGTAACAGCAATTTTGTAATTCAATAATACACAAATATGCGGTTTATTTTAAACGTTTATATAGCATACTGAATTGGATAAGTGGGAATCACTTTCCATTGTAAATTTAAAAACAGGTCCAACAAAAACAGCTGCATGCATCAATCCATCAGTCAAGAGTCACACGGTTTCAGGATCCTTAATACTCTGAATTGCTCCACATGCTGCCTTTGTAGAAGATATGCTAATAATCCTGATTTAACTTAAGCTTTGAGGTGTTTTACTAAATCCAAAGCCATAACAGTCAATAATCATATCTGAAACTGATTTATTTTTACATATTAATCTTGTTAATATCATACCGACACGGCTTACCTGTAAGGACCTTCACCTTCAGAGGACTTCAGCTGAGCTTAACTTGGTTTAAAGACCTAACAAACACCCAAACATTGAGGGTGCCCTTTTAAATGTCCTTTGTTGGGGCCTATCATACAAATCCAGACTATCATGTTCTATTCTCTTCAAAGAACTGAAACTTAACAATGCTTTGCCTCTTTCAACTACCAAGATGTTCCTGTCAGCACCTGCCACCTGGGAATGTGGCACCTACTTAGCATGTGATGAATGAATTACAGCATCCTGCTTTCCATCCACCTCTCCATCCCTGTCTGGCATGCCAAGCACCTTATGAGGCTATGAACTATATTAAGATAACTGTAAGATAATAGACCAAATATGTTATAAATCTGGACGTTTGTCATACTAATATGATAAAGTACGGACTGTTGACTGTTTGATTTGAAGGGTATCAGAATAGGGCTTGGGCCAAGTTGGACTAGACACAACTTTCTCACAGTAAACAGTGACCTGGGTGGTCATATCAAGGTCAAAGGCATGAACACTTGACAGTTCAGGCCACTCTAGTGTATTAAAAACACTTATGATGATTACAGTCTCCATCCAGTCCGCTAAAAATAAAATAGATCCAGTATAGTCATTCAGATAGATTTAAAAGGCATGCTAGAAATATCCTAGGAAATTAATCTTAAAAAAAGTGTGCTAACCAAGAATGACACAACAAAAAAATAATAAAACAATAAACAATAAAACAATAACAATAAAAACTTCAATCTTATTATTTTTCCAAGCCAGCCATGACCACAACAAATGGCCTCTCATTAGTCCAAAATCATGCTCCCCATAACTGTACATTATATCAAATATCTTTAATCGGCTGTATTTTGTAATGTCATGCAACAGCTTTGTGTTCAAACAGACAAATCATATGAACAGACAAATTGCTGGAAACTTGTTGCATTGTGCCTGGTAACTGCTGCACTCAGTCCAGCTGGCCTTCTCGGGGCAAAGCTGTAAAACAGAGCAACTGTGGAAAGGCTCATGTCAGACATGGGTCCAAGTCTTTGTTTCAGAACCAAAAGACTGGCTCAAATCTCACTCAAGGCCAAGCTGTAACTCTCAGGTCCACAGTTTTGGCTCATGTAGCTATTGGTGAGAAAAGGGGAGTCCTGCAGGGGCACTTAGTAGCTCAATAAATCAATATCTCCACGGAGTCTCTTACATTTCTGAACGTTTTAGCTCACTGAAAGTCTTTTATTTATTTTTAAATTAATTTATAAAGACAAACTTTTTTTTACAAAAATTAAACTCAGTGACTGTAAAGATATATATCAAGATATAAATCATTTTAAACAGTAAAAGATTTTTAAAATGTTATGGTAAAAACTTGTTAATTTGGTTAACTGTTTGCTTCGGTAAAAAAAAACTGTAATAGATCGGACACTTAACGGGACACTTTATAAAGTCATTTTATAATTTACACTGAAAAGCCATACATTTACTTTTTGTTATCAGTTATGTACATTAGTGTTTACATTTTATGTTCCATCTTATCATCTGGCAACCACAGATGAAATAATGATTAAATAAAATACCTCATCCTGCTAACACGCATTTATGAGCTTTTCTCCTAAATTGCAATTATCATGTAGCATACTAGCTACTCACCCCAATTTTCAGCCACAGTCTGTTTTTAATTCAGAATATTATTTATAACACACTGTAAAGTGGTAACTATTTGAAGTTTGTTTTGCTTGATTTAGGTTGATGTTAAATATATATATACACACACACATTATTTAACATTGCTTGCTAACATAACAAAAAAATTTAAATGCACATTTTTGACTAATAAAAACAACTAATTCAGACATTATTACATAAAGTACATGTTTGGGTTATTATTTTCAGTGTAGACAACTTATGAAAAAATTAAGGGTCCCTTTGGTGAGCATTCTTTGCTAAATTCCCTCCCTTCTACCAGTTTATTTCTGTGAGCAACACCTCGGTCTTGTGAACTTCTAAAATTTTCCACATATCAATAATGCTGCTGAAAGCCTTTTAAGAACTTGGCAAAACCCTGTGAAATTCAGCCAGATATTCCGGATTTTGATGGCAGAACTATTGGCTAAATAAAAGACTTTTCAAATAAAATCTGTGAGAACTCTCCAACCATCACAAAATGAATAAGTCACAGCATTAGATTCTAAAGCACAGCTGAAGGTCATCATGTACATCCCGCACTGTTTTGTGTTTTATGCCAGTCCTCTTAAAATAATAAAGGGGGTGACACAAGAAAAAGAACCGTGATATTCCACCCAAGAATCTCTGGGGATTGCCTCATTTTATTTCCATGACAGCTTTTAAAGAGTCCAGCTTTAATACACAAAGGAGATCTACAAGGGGCCTGCTGTAGCCGGAGCGAGGGGGCCGGAGAGGAGGGGGGCTCTTACATAACACAGTTTGACTTCTGCTTTGTCAACAAATGGCAGAGGGGGACAGAGAGAGAGTAAAGCTCACCAGGATCACAGCAAACAGCTCCAAACATGGCTCGAGAGTAGCGCTGTAGAAGAACAACCGTGGGTGTTTAATTGAGAATAGCCCATCAGTACTGTAAACATCTTCAGCAGACACACTGGACGGAGGCCTAGACTGTCATACTCTCAACACATTTAAACAACGCCATCATAAAAGGAAATGTATTCAACTGTGGTATTTGCCTCAGCCACCATTCATCTACACAGGTCTTTTTTCCCAAGCATGACATTACTGTCAGAGAAACCTCTCAGCTATATTACGGAATAATAGAAAAGGTGATGAACAACTGAAAAGGGAGCTAATTTCTCCAACAAAACAAATACAGGTGTAGATAATATTAATGCTGATGATTAATGCTAATAGTCAACGATTTGTGAGCTTATTTTGCTTTATTTACTATTCTGAACTCCTATGGGCTTTCAGGAACACAAATAATGCATATCAAAGCAGTTTTTCTATTACAAAAATACTCAGATTTTTGAAGTTGACCCACCAAGCTGTTGAGTTCAATTA